CGGACTGGGGCACGGACCCGTGTCCCCTGCATCAACAGGCGGACTCTCAACCACTGCGCCACCAGGGAAGCCCATGGCATTCTTAATATTTGAAATTCTTGCAGTTTAAATCTATTATTTGTTGTTTTCTGTTATTCATTCATGGTTTCTTGTTTCCATGTATATTTGTGATCTTTGATACAAACTAATTTTTACTTACTGTTTAATTTTGAGAATGCTGTCAACTTAAAGTTGGAGATATTTTCCTCCAAAAGTTGGGAGGAACCACCAACCCTGGATCACTTGAGCTTGCTTCAAGTGTCTCAGCCTACTATGGGGGTCTTGGGTTTGGCTCCCTCACCTTACTAGTGGTCCAGGGCTTGTCATTCTGACCGTAATAGGAATGCTTTGGGAATTAGCCCTCAAGAAACTGTTGTTTGACCCCTTGCTTATTCCACAGCTCATGATTTTTTTTTTTTCCTCTTTTGGGGGGTGGAGCAAGTAGCCTTGGAGATTTTTCCTATTTACTATAAGCCCTGAAATGCTTTAAAAAGTATATGTTATACAGGATATAGTTTTTTGTAGTAGAAGGGGCTCCCTTGATATCTTGTTCACTGTAATGCAGGAAGCAGAAGTCTCTCTGTACAATTTGATATCCTACTTTTTTTTATTAGCTTTTAAGCCTTTTTCTATACCAGTAAACATTCATTATAAACGTAATTCCTATGGTTTCATTATATTCCATTGCATGGCTAGACCACCATTTAATTAGGCATTTTTCTATTAGATATTTAGAATGTTTTCAGGTCTTTGCTGTTGTAAATAATACTGCATTGAACATCATTGTGGTAATGTGAGGTAAATCGGGGGTTGAGGATATAAAGGAAAAGCATAGCTGGGGAGGGGTTGTAAACTCAAATGCTTTGTAGGATCCAGGCAAATAAAGCAAATGAGTATAGTGAAGCAATGAAGCTGACTAGTACAAAAGACCAAAGGGAATGGTGGGAACATGTGAAACTGAAGGGCACATGCCCATCTTATAAATAAGGGCAGCCATATCTCTAGCTGATTGTTACCATCTAGGAATGAGGGACTGGTATGGTCAGTTCTTCTGATTTTTCAAGCAACACAAACTGAAAATCTAAAAAAAAAAAAAAAAATTTTATGGTGGCATTTTTACTGTGCAAACCACATAAAATCTGTCGACACACAAGATGTGACCATCAGGCTGTCACTTTGCAACCTTTGCTCTAGGATCATGACTGTGGGAATAAATGGTGGGGAAGTACTGACTGAAGACATGGCTGTTCAGTCATCTTTCCATTCTCAGTACGAAATAGAGAGAAATGAGGAGTTAAGAGTTTAAGATCTTGGCCTTGAAGATTTATTTACTAAGGCTCAGCTTTTTGGTTTTCATCTTCCTTCCTTCCTTCCTCACCTCTTATCAAATATGCTATTCTCAGACTAAGCTAACCTTCTGAAAGCAGACTTGAGTCCAGCTAGCCCACTGGGCTTGCCATTCAGTAGCTTTACCAAACATTGGTGGTGACCTACTAAGTGCCAAGGCTCTGGGCTCAGAATTACTTATCAAGATATAAGACACAGTCCCACCTTCCAAAAGTCTGCTGTCACCAAGAGATAAGTAACAAAATAAAATGGTCAAGACTTGGTACCAAATGAGTTGTACAGATAATTGGTATTGAAAAAGTTCAGAAAAAAAGACTTTCATGATAAAGAAAAGCTTCCAGAAATGGTAGAATTTGAGCTAGATCCTTTTTTTAAAAAAAAGGCAAGAGAAATAGGGAGAGAGAGCATTCCAGATATCTTCCCAGTGGAGTGAGCCAAAACTCAAAATTCAGAATAAATTTGGCATGTGATGGAACATGGTTGGATAAGTAGGAAGGAACTTTGAATACCACATTGAGGAATTTGGATGATCCTGTAGGCAGTTGGGAGCCACTGAAGGCTTTTTAGTAGTAAGGTGACGTATTGAAGGCAGTATACTTGGGGAGATTAGTCTTGTGTCAGTATATAGGATAGCTGGGAGGAAAGAGCCAAAATGAAAGCAAGAAAGCTAGTTAGAAGACTATATAATAATTCAGAGGAGAGATGCTGCAGGTCTGAACTAGGATGATAGGAGTAGGGATGGGAACTTGAAAGGCAATGTAACAAGTAGTTAAGAACACTGACTTTGGAATCAGACAGTTCTGTGTCTGAATCCCAGATCAGACATTACTGACTGAGTTACCTTAGGAAGGTTATTTAATAGCTCTGAGCCTCAGATTTCTCATCCATGAAACACAGATACTAATACTTAGCTTAGAGAGTGGTTATATGGATTAAATGAGATAATGTAAGTGCTTAGCATAGTAGTTGGAATGTGGTAAGAGCACAGCAAATTATTAGATCAATGCCTAAAACATTGGAAGTTAGACTCAGCATGACTTGGTGATTGTCTGAATGTGAGGAGAGATTCCAGATGATTCTTGTATTTTCAATTTTGTGTTACTGGTAGTCCAAATAAAGCTGATTTGAAATAGAAAAATCAATTTGGCTTTATTTTTTATTTTTAAGGACAGTCTCCTTAATATTTATTTGTTTGTTTGTTTGTTTATTGGCTGCAACGGGTCTTAGTTGCCGCATGTGGGATCTTCCATTGCAGCGCGCGGGCTCCTCACTGCGGTGCACAGGCTTCTCTCTAGTCATGGTGTGCGGGCTCCAGAGCGCGCGAGCTCAGTAGTTGCAGCACGTGGGCTCTCCAGTTGTGGCACCCGCGCTCCAGAGCGTGTGGGCTCAGTAGTTGTGGCACGTGGGCTCAGTTGCCCTGCGGTATGTGGCATCTTAGTTCCCCGACCAGGGATCGAACTGGCATCCCCTGTATTGCAAGATAGATTCTCAACCACCGGACTACCAGGAAAGTCCCTCAATTTGGTTTTAAACGTGTTGAATTTGAGGTAATAATAAGAAGTACCTAACACAGTATTGGAGATTTGATTCTGGAAACGCAGGAAGAATGTAAGATTTGGAAATCAACAGTATAATGGGAAGGGCTAAACACTTCTCAGGTTGAAAAAGACTTCAGGTCTGAGCCCTGCTGTAAATCTACCTTTAAATATAGGTCAGGTATTGTATTAAACAACTAAGAAAGAATGATCTAAGAAGTAGAACTAGGAGGGTTGTTGTTATGGAAACCAAAGGCAAAAGAGGGTTTCAGTAGGAGGGGATGGCTAAGTGTCAGGCAGTTTAAATATTATGGGTTTAAAAATTAGAACTGTTTCAGACAGTTCATGTATTAATTAAAAGAAGTCAGACTTCCGATGTTTAAGAAATAGTTAAGGAGAAAGTAGAATTAACATAGTTCATTGTTCTAAGAATTTTGGTATTGAAAAAAACAGAAGGAAGGGGGAATTGTCTAAGGTCCTTAGGTTGACATGGCAGTGATACCCTCTGCTTTCTAGTACACCTGAGTTTCTGCCACCCCATGCCCACCCAGTCACAGAGCCTTTAAAGACTCCTGCCTCTGTGGAGCTGAGCAACACCATTCACTGCTGCAGCTTCTTTTTTTCTTTTAACAGCTTTATTGAGATATAATTGACATCTGTTTCATCATTTAAAGTATACTATTCAAAAAAGAGGGGATATATGTATATGTATAGCTGATTCACTTTGCTGTACAGTAGAAACTAATACAACATTGTAAAGCAACTATAATCCAATAAAAATTTTTTTAAGTATACTATTCAATTGTTACTAGTATATTAACAGAGCTGTGCAACCATCACCGTAATCTAATTTTAGAACATTTGCATCATCCCTAAGAGAAATCCCAAACCCAGTAACAATCCCTCCCCATTTTCCCTTCCCCCAAGTCCCTGGCAGCCACTAACCTACTTTTTTTTTAAATTAATTAATTAATTTATTTATTTATTTTGGCTGCGTTGGGTCTTCATTGCTGTGCCTGGGCTTTCTCTAGTTGCGGCGTGCAGGGGCTGCTCTTCGTTGCGGTGCACGGGCTTGTCATTGCGGTGGCTTCTCTTGCTGCGGAGCACAGGCTCTAGGCACGTGAGCTTCAGTACTTGTGTCACATGGGCTCAGTAGTTGTGGCTCGTGGGCTGTAGAGCGCAGGCTCAGCAGTTGTGGCGCACAGGCTTAGTTGCTCCGCGGCATGTGGGATCTTCCTGGACCCGGGATTGAACCCGTGTCCCCTGCATTGGCAGGCGGATTCTTAACCACTGTGCCACCAGGGAAGCCCCAACTTACCTATTTTTTTCTTTTGTCACTTGTATTTGTGGTATCTTGTCTAAGAATGCATTACCTAACTCAAGGTTATGAATGGATTATTCCTTTTTTTGCTAAGCTTTCTTTTAACAGACCTTTTTTTTTTTTCTAATGAACAGCAGGGGGCTTCTCTGTCAGCCTTTTGAGTCAGATCTGCCCACCACTTACTTTCATTTACTCTCTCACTCTTTTTGTATTACTCTTATTCGACAAGACTTTGACTAACCACCTTCTATAAGCCAAACACTGTGCTAGTATTATAGGAAGCACAAAATAAAAATGATACTGTCTTAAGCTCTGGGTACTGGGGATACAGAGATGACTATAACTTGGACTTTGCAGTCTAGAAGAGCCATTAAGGCAGATATGCAAAAAAGAACATAACCATGTCAAGTGACAAATGATATACTTAATCAGAACCTCTCATGGGGCTTCCCTGGTGGCGCAGTGGTTGAGAATCTGCCTGCCAATGCAGGACCAGTGTTCGAGCCCTGTTCTGGGAAGATCCCACATGCCGCGGAGCAACTAGGCCCGTGAGCCACAACTACTGAGCCTGCGTGTCTGGAGCTTGTGCTCTGCAACAAGAGAGGCCGCGACAGTGAGAGGCCCGCGCACCGCGATGAAGAGTGGCCCCTGCTCACCGCAACTAGAGAAAGCCCTCGCACAGAAACGAAGACCCAACACAGCCAAAAATAAATAAAATAAATTTTAAAAGAACACCTCTCATGAACTGATGTTAGTTTCTGATGAAGCTTCCGTCAGTATACAATGAAATAAGAAAAATAATGACAGTGTGCTTTTTTAATGAAATGATGGTGATAGTTGATGTAGGGTGTTTTTTGTTGTTGTTGTTTAATGATCTTACTTGGCGATATAAGATATTGGTATTGTATTGATCCCCTGGCTTTTGTGGGATTTTTTTCTTGTCTGTAAAATCAACAACCTCCAGCCACAGTTCGGAAGACAGAGATCATTTCTGGCTCCAAGGTGATCAGTGAAGACTTGATGGAGGAGTTGATCTGGGCCTTGCAGGTTTTAGATAATTCCTCATAGGTTTAGCCAAGTGTAACAGGCAGGAGAATCTGAACAAAGAGTGGAAAGAGCTTATGAAACAGGTTTGAAGGACTACATGACCGGGGATAGGAAGTAAGGTTGGGTAGAGAGGGAGTAGACAGCCAAGATGGAGGACCTTGAAAGCCAAAATGAGTTTGAACTTGATTCTCTGGGTAATGGGAAACCATTAAAAGGGGCAGGAGTGACATGTTGAATAAAGATGGGGCTTCAGGAAGATGAATCTGGCAGTACTAGATAGAAGGTAAATTGCAGGTGAGAAGACTAGTTAGGAGGCAATTGTGGTTTATAATGTGATGGTTTTTATATTTTGTTTCTAGCCAGAAAAAAATTTGATCTTCTCATCAAAGCCCTATAGATCTTTGGCCATAGTTGGTGGACAGTAGGTGATGATGTGGTCTGTGATATAGTGAAGTAAGTTAAGCACTGAAAGTATGATAGCTGCCACCTTCTGTAGGCAGCTGGAAACACTTCCTAAGTAGTAGCTCTCTAGTACAATGCATGGCTTAGTCTCACAGAAATTTCAGGGACAAAGACCCTGGGCCCAGAGCTCTTACTGGAATTCTAAGCACTGGTCATGGAGATTGACTTTGCCCCAGCCTACAGCCCAGCTAGGGGAGAGGGAAGTACAGTGACATCTTTCACTGTCCTTGAGGGGATCGTTTATGGCTAGTTTTATGAACAGCTGCCTTCCTCTCTCCTTCCCTTCCTCATTGTTTCCTGCTTTGTAGAATCAAGAAGGCATGGCCCCTCAAACATTTATTTCAAGGTTGGAGATAGGTTTTTGAGTCTTCAGCAACTTTTGTTCTTCTACAACTCAGTTCATCTTAGGATGCTGTCACTGAGCATTTGAGTCTCATAGGGAATAGAAGCAACAATAAGGGGAAAGAAACGACGTATCTTCTGGATCCTGAGTGGTAGCTGATGTGGTCCTGGCCAGTAGACCTAAGGCTTCTTTTTAGGGACCTGAAATCCAAGGGCTTGCCTGTGGCGTCCAGATGGTAGTCAGTACTGGAAGGAGCTCTATGCAGGGCTAGTGCTTGAGGGCCAAGACCATCTTGACACCACCATCTCTGCGTTCAAGGATGGCAGCAGGCGGCAGTGGCATGAACTGGACAGAGACATGCTGCTACTTACTGTACAGCTGGCTCTGCCTCTGGCTTCTCCACTGTCTACTGATTCCCACAGAACTGGCCCAGAACCTGACGAGGGTGGAGCAGGGAAGGGGTGGAGGGCTCTGTAGTTCTTCAGACAGAACTGAGAATTTTCTCTGGGCTGGGGAAGACCACTCCTTTTCCTTAGCCTTCCTTTCCCTAGGAAAGTAGGCTTTCTGCCCCCTGGCCTGGCTAAAGGGACTCTGCCTTCCCACAGGCCCAGCTGGACCCCACTCAGTACTGACCAAAAACTGATGTAGGTGAGAGGGCGGAAGGTTCTGCTACAGCCCCACTAGCAGACCCGCTGAAGATCCAGGGAACTGAAGTGGACCCTGTGGTAGGAAGGGGGCCTGTAGCCAACTTGATCCTAAGGCTCACTACCACCCTGTATATAGAAGCCTCTATGGCCCAGTCTCTCTTTATTTCTGAGACAGACCCCGTTTCTCTGAAGAGGCACTCCCTAGGAAGCCTATTGCCAAGTCTAGGAACTTGGTGTTACTGCTGGTGGAATGATGACTGGTCCCCACAGGCTCCCTGCAGGGCTTCAGGAACCCCCTCCCAGGCTGGCTGCTCCACCCTGAGCCTAGTCTAGAATCCTAGTGAAGGGAAAAAGCTGGAAAACAAGGAGTCATTCAGAGTGGGTGAAAAGAGGAGGGAGAGGTTTCTGGCTGAGATCTAAAAGGAGGGGCCTAAGGAAGGAAGGAAGCTCTAAGCCTCCTCCCAGACCTTTTCCCTGAGACTCCTAGGGATGAGAGAGGAGCGAGGCCCAGCTCTCTCGCTATTTTTCTTTGCCGCTTTGAGAGTTCTCATCTTCCAGCACTGACTGCCCTCTGTGGCTGACTCCTTTCTCTACCTTCCCCCTTCCCCAGGCTAAAGGGCCCACAGGGACTGGCAGGGAGGAAGGCTGAGCGGCTGTACTGTGGGCATGCCTATTCCTTTCCCTTCCCCCTTCCCTTAGCAGCAACGTCACCGCAGCACCAGAGGCAGCAGCAGCGGCAAGGATACTGGGGCTGGGATTGCGCAGCCTCCCTGCATTAGCAACGATGCCATTGTATTAGCAGAAATCAGATCTTAGGAAATCAGCCCAGTTCCCCCTGTGTGGTCCTGTGGAACAGTGCCTCAGCTTGAACTGTCAAGATAGAGCTTGGTCGGAGTGCAAAAGGAACAGAAGCCTCCAGATACAGCTAAGGCTCCTTACAGAGGTATGGCTCAGCGGAGCTGGGGGGAGGGGCAGGGCAGAGATGCTAGAATAACTGATCAGCACATTTGGGCCCTGGTTTTGAGGGTTGGCTTTGTCTTCCCGAAAGAGGAAGAGAGAGAGAGAGAGAGAGAGAGAGAGAGAGAGAGACCGAGCATGAGCACAAACATTAGACAAGCTCATCCATGCATACATTTGGGCTGTGGTGCAGAGATGGGGAAAAACAGGCTTGGGCTAATGCTATTTTGTCAAGAAGCAGAAAATCCCCTTCCTCCTTTCTGAGCATCTCTAATGAGGCTGTTATAGTGCGGGTCAGCGTAGAGGGGGTCAGATCTAGAAACAAAGCCTTAATAGGGAGGAGATACCCCTACAGCTACTGTAAGTTTATGATGGAGACATGCAGGGATCCACACAGGAGGTACTGGGAAGCATTGAGTCCATCCTTTACCTCATGCACATATGTACATGCACTAGACACACATACCATATCTTCTGGAGCTGTGGGAGCCAAGAGGCTACAGATAAGGATGGAATAAGAAAGAATGTTGACCAAGAGGCTCCACATTATTGGTTGGTGGGGATAAGTAGTGTCTAGGGCACCTGACCTATTATAATTGGTCTTCTTATACAGGCTTAGATTCCTAACAGGAAGAGACCTGAGCATAAGTTGATACTCCCAAATCCACCCTCCTGCTCTCTTCCCTTCAATCCTGTCCAAGAGAGAACCCAGACAGGAAAAGGGTTATCAGTGCTACTGAGGCTCCCCATCAGACCTCAGGTCAAGGTCAGATTGCTAGAGAGTAACAGCCGAGTATCACCATCTTCCCTGTCCTCCTTCAGGAGGCTAAAAAAAGAGGGAAGGGATTCTATGACTGGCAGAAAGATGCTGAAGACCAAAGACAAGGGAAACCTTTCTTCTGAAGTTTAGAACATCTTCCTGCCCAGAGTTACCCTGTTGCTGAGCAGATAGGAAGAGTTCTTTAAATTCCCATCTCCATTGATCACCTTGGTGGAGGATTCAAAAACATATGCTAATAGGAGTCAGTAGTTCCATGTTGTGCAAAATGTGGTTGGATAATACATTGGGAAGTTGTGGGAGGTGTTAGTTCCCAGGAAGCACCTAGGAATGTGAACTGCAGAGCAGGGGAAAGGGGCGTTGAGGACTGTGAATGGGGCAGGGAGATGTGAGCTGGGAAGTGGGGCAGGAGGTGGGATTGAAGAGTGTTTATTAGAGCATGGGGCAGTAATATGAAAGGGACTGTGGGTTCAGAGAATAGCAAAGTGGGTAAGTATAAACTGTGTAAATGGAAACTAGAGTGTGAGCCTATCCAGGAAAGGTAGGAAGCATCTGCTTTGGTAGCAGAGTAAATGTAGGGGCTTTAGGAAGAGGGTGTGGCCCTGATCTTTTCTCTGAGAGGCAGTTGTAGTGGAAAGAATTAAGAATTGGGCAGACCTGGGTTTGCGTCCATCTCAACTGTATAATTATGGGCTAACTTCTCACACTTGCTAAGCTTCAGTTTTCTCATCTGTAAAATGGGGATGATTATGTCTACTTTAAATGATTATAGTGAAATTAGAGATGATATATGTAAAACACCTTACATGTAAGTTCTCAGTAAATGATCACTAATAAATAGTATTATTATAATAGGCCAGGAGACACCCATTTGTGATGAGGGCCAGGAAGAGGGCTCTCGTGGAGAGCTTTCCCTGATTCTAGAGATCTAGACCTCGTAACTTTATGCTGACTAAGCCCACCACTTCTTTGTCCACCTGGTAGGCAGAGCTGAGCACTTTCTTCCACTTTCTTCCTATTCTGTGTTCTCTATTCCTTCCCCATCTTCATCTCCCATGTCTCTCCATTTAATCAGGGTACAAAAAGCATCTGGAATGAGCTCTTCCATCTCACTGTTTACTCTTCACCTTTATTAGCGCTCATGGGCCACAATATTAAACTTGTCTTGTTATAGAACATGTCTCTCCCGGGGGAGAAGTCTAATAGATATGCTTTCAGTAAATGTGTTCTGTGGTGTTTGAAATCAAGTCACGTGTACCGTATACTCTCATTACATTACTAACTGATCAAGAAAAAAGGTCAAACATTAGGATTCCTGACTCTGACTTAATTCTGTCATTTATCCATTGAGAGATCTTGGGCAAGTCATTTGTTTTTTCTAGGTGTTGATTTCCTTATTTTTTTAAATAAAGAAGTGGCTCTGCCTATTCTGGTGCATTGTTGTGAGGATCAACGAGATGACATACATAAAGAAGTGCTTTGTAAAATATGTGAATGTGTCGGGGCAAAAGACATGAGTACAAAGTCTAATGAGGTGTCTATAGAACTTTACCTTAGTTGGCTGAACTGGAGTTGTCTGTGGAGAAACTGCTGGCAGATCAGGAAGGAATAAGACTTTCTCTGAGATACAAAAATATAAAATAAAATGGAATCAACCAGTGAAAGAGCTTTACACTTAAAATAGGATTCAACACAACCTAAATATAAAAGCTAAAGCTATACAGCATTTAGGGAAAAAAAGAGGAGAATTTCTTTATGATCTTGGGACAGGCAAAGCTTTCTTAGCATACAGAAAGATTTAACCATAAAGAAAAAAACAGATAAATGGGACTTCATAAAATTAAAAACTTCTATTAATTAAAAAACACCATTAAGAAAACAAATGGGCAAGCCACATTTGAGAAAAGGCCACTTGAGAAAATATTCTCAAGACATACATCTGACAAAGGGCTTGTATCCAGAATAAATTTTAAAACTCCTACAACTCAACAATAAAAAGACAAGTCAGGTTTTAAAATGGGTAGAACAGGAGTCGATAACTAACCTACTGTGCCTACCATGTTCCAAGCACAATGCGTGGGTTCTAGGGACACAGGGTTGACTCTATCCCTAGATACAGTCCCTACCCTGTTCCTCAAGGAACTGCACTCTAGTCTGGGGACAGATACGTAAACGTAACATAATAAACCTTCAGCGCCCTCCAGCCAAAGGTACTCCATCACCCTCCACATTCATTTGTGCTTTATCCCTGATTCAGAGAGTCAGCTTTCCAGACTCTATGTGTTGCTCTGTTTCTCCATTTGAATGTGTATATGACCCAGTCAGTGGTTTTGTGGGTCAAAATCAGAAACTCTTATGCGCGTATTACTTGTGAATGCCTTTTGAAAATCGTGCTATAAAAGGGGGTGGAGGGGTATTCATTGAAGATCAAGTGATGGCTGTAGCCCATAGGTACTCCTAAAATTACTTCCATGTGTGCAAGAAAGTTCTTTATGCTCCATTTAGTCCAGGCCTCAGACTGTGGCCTGGACCCTGGGGAAGCATAGTACTATACGTAAGGGGAAGCCCCCTTCCCAAGCCCCAAACCCACAGTATCTGTAGCACTTAAAGAAAAAAAACTGTTTAAATTATGTACATAGGGGCTTCCCTGGTGGCGCAGGGGTTAAGAATCCGCCTGCCAATGCAGAGGACACAGGTTTGAGCCCTGGTCCGGGAAGATCCCACATGCCGCGGAGCACCTAAGCCCGTGTGCTACAACTACTGAGCCTGTGCTCTAGAGCCCATGAGCCACAGCTACTGGAGCCCATGCACCTAGAGCCTGTGCTCCTCAACAAGAGAAGCCACCGCAATGAGAAGCCACGCACCGCAACGAAGAGTAGCCCCCGCTCATCGCAACTAGGGAAAGCCCGCGCACAGCAACAAAGACCCAACACAGCCAAAAATAAATAAATAAATAAATAATAATAAAAATATATATATGTACATAACAGATATTTATTAGAAAGTTAGATGAAACAAAAAGAATAAAATTAAAAAATAATCGAAAATCACTCAACAGCAGTAATCACTGTTAACATTTTGTTGTAAAGTCAGCCCTCCATATCTGCGGGTTGTGCATGCATAGATTCAACCAACCAAGGATTAAAAATATTCAGGAAAAAAAGTTCCAGAAAGTTCCAAAAAGTTAAACTTGAATTTGCCATGCTCTGACAACTATTTACATAGCATTTACGTTGTATCAGGTATTACAAGTAATCTGAAGATGATTTAAAGTAAACGGGAGGATGTGTGTAGGTTATATGCAAATACTACGACATTTTACATAAGGGACCTGAGCACCCTTGGATTTTGGTACTGTTTATGCTTTCAAGTTTTCTTCCATGTATATTGCTATGGTTTGAATGTCTGTGTGTCCCCTCCCCGCCATCCATGTGTTGAATTCTAAGTCCCAAAGGTAATGGTAGTAAGAGGTAGGGCCTTTGGGAAGTGATTAGGTCTTGAGAGCAGAGCCCTCCTGAATGAGATTAGCGCTTTTATAAAACAGAAAGATCCCTTGTCCGTTACACTATGTGAAGACACAGGTAGAAGGTGCTAACTATGAACCAGAAAGTGGGCTTTCACCAGAACTCAGCCATGCTGGAACCTTCATCCTGATCTTGGACTTCCCAGCCTCCAGAACTGTAAGAAATACATTTCTGCTGTTTATAAAGCCACCCAGTCTGAGGTATTTTGTTATAGCAGCCTGAATGGACTGACAGATATAGAGATATATTTACTTACAACAATGGTGTCATACTGTAAATTCTGTTTGTAATCTGCTATTTTCACTTAATAGTTTGTGAATAGTTTCTCAAGTCAATAATAATCAAATTAACCAACATTGTTTTAATGATACTCTGTTCTGTACGTTTTTGGTTTTTTTTTTGGCTGCGTTGGGTCTTCATTGCTGCTCGTGGGCTTTCTCTAGTTGTGGTGAGCAGGGGCTACTCTTCGTTGCGGTGCGTGGGCTTCTCAGGGCTTCTCATTGCAGTGGCTTCTCTTGTTGCAGAGCACGGGCTCTAGGCGCACAGGCTTCAGTAGTTGTGGCACCCGGTCCCAGCGGTTGTGGCTCGTGGGCTTTAGAGCACAAGCTCAGTAGTTATGGCACATGGGCTTAGTTGCTCCGCGGCATGTGGGATCTTCCCGGACCAGGTCTCAAACCGTGTCCCCTGCATTGGCAGGCGGATTCTTAACCACTGTGCCACCAGGGAAGTCCCTGTTCTGTAATTTTAAAACTGATTATTGTTGGAATTTTAGTGTGTTCCCAACTTTCTGTTATCCTTGTGGCATATATATTTGAGTTCAAAGTTTTCTTGGCAAAGGAAGAGAAGAGATGGGAAGGAGTGAAGGGGAAATTATCTCACGTACCTCATAGCAAAACTTCCTAAAAATTATCTTTATCCCTCTCTACAAAATCCCATACTTTAAGGCAGCTGTTCCTCTCTCTTCTTTTTCTCATCTTGTCTCTGCAAATACCCACTCCCCTCCACTGCTAAACATTGGTTCCCTTCCCTCTTCCCATAAACCTTAATCTTTTTTCCTACTTAAAAATTATATCTTAACAGCTTTGTTAAGGTATAATTCACATACCATAAAATCCACTCTTTTATAAAACTGAGACATAATTCACATTCCATAAAACTCTGGAGTTTTTATTTTATTCACAGACTTGTGTAACCATCACCGCTGTCTGATTTCAGAACATTTTCATCACCCCCGAAAAGAACCTCCATCCCCATTAGTAGTCACTCCCCATCTTCCAGTCCCTCAGTCCCTGGCAACCACTATTCTACTTTTTGTTTCTGTGTATTTGCCTATTCTGGACATTTTATGTAAATGGAATCATATAACATCATACAAAGAAGCCTTTTATGACTGGCTTCTTTCACTTACCTTTTCAAGATTCCGTCATGCTGTATGTAGCATGTGTCAGTACTTCATTCCTTTTATCGCTAAATAATATTCCATTCTGTATACCGTATTATGTTTATCTGTTCATCAGTTGATGAACATTTCAATTGTTCCCACTTTTCTGGCTACTGTGAATAATGCTGCTGTGAATATTTGTATACAAGCTTTTGTGTGAACATATGTCTTCATTTCTCTTGGGTATATACCTAGGAGTAGAATTTCTAAGTCATACGGTAACTCTATGTTTAACATTTTGAGGAACTGCCAGACTGTTTTTCCAAAGTGACTGCACCATTTTACAATGGCTCCAGCACTGTTTGAGGGTTGCAGTTTCTCCACATCCATCCACCAGCATTTATTATTGCCTTTTATCTTAGTGGGAATGAAGTGGTATCTCATTGTGGTTTTTATTTGTCTAATGACTAATGATGTTGAACATCTTTTCATGTGCTTATTAATCATTTGTATGTCTTCTTTGGAGAAATGTCTATTCAAGTTCTTTGCCCAGTTTTTAATTGGGTTATGTACTTTTTATTGTTGAGTTGTAAGAGTTCCTTGTATATTCTAATCAGAAGACTCTTATCAGATACACAATTTGCAAATATTTTCTCTCATTCTGTGAGTTGTCTTTTCACTTTCTTGATGGTCTCCCTTGAGGCACAAAGGTTTTCTCTGTTATCACTTGTGTTTTTGGTATCTTATCTAAGAAAGCATCCCATCTTAATCTTAATCTAAGATAATGCATTTACTCCCATGTTTTCTTCTGTAACTCTTAGCCTTGTAGCTCAGTTTAGCCTCTCTGATTTCTGCCTTTCTGCATATCTACTCCTTACCTCAATCAACACACAAAGGCTTGGGAAGTCCAACAGAGGAGCCTTCCTCTCAGAAAGGAAAGGAGGAAGAAAGAAGGTAAATACTTGCTTTTTAATGTAATTTAACTTAACACAAAAGAATGTATTTAATAGTGTCCCTTGCACATGTATTTATTAGACACTTGAATTTTTTCTTTTGTGTGTTGCCTGTTCATGTCCTTGAGCATGTGTGACTTGCCTGGCCCTTTACTGTACTCCACGTGAAGAGCTCTGATCCTGTGATCTAAATGAGTTACACTTTTAAAAATTGGTGGTATATGGGTTCAACTAAATGATGCAGAACTTATAGGCAGTGAGGGGTTTAGACTCATGGTAGGTAAGGAAAATGACAGGAATGATAAGGAAAAGAAGAGAAATGAATGAATTAGGAGAAATTAGGTAGGAGAAGTCTGAGCAAGTGAAGTCTTTTGGGACCTGAACTTGGTAGCACAGGAGACTAGAACTTGAGGAGGCCATTCTGCCATGGTCTAGCCAAGAGACCAGAGAAGCTTAGAATGGGCTCTGTGTAGAGAACTTGACCTTAACCTATCAGAAGTAAAACTGGGAAGAGAAGACTTTTTAGGGGACCCTCATAGTTAAAGTTTTGGCTAAAACTGGGCAGAATCTGGGCACTTCAGATCTGTACCCTGAGCTAGATAAATATTAAGAATATTTTTTGCCTGGGGACTTCCCTGGTGGCGCAGTGGTTAAGAATCCGCCTGCCAATGCAGGGAATGTGGGTTCAAGCCCTGGTCCGGGAAGATCCCACATGCTGCGGAGCAACTAAGCCCATGTGCCACAACTACTCACCCTGTACTCTAGAACCCGCGAGCTACAACTGCTGAGCCTGCGAGCCACAACTACTGAAGCCTGTGCGCCTAGAGCCCCTGCTCCTCAACAAGAGAAGCCACCGCAATGAGAAGCCCACGCACTGCAAGGAAGAGTAGCCCCCGCTCGCCACAACTAGAGAAAGCTCGTGCGCAGCAGCGAAGACCCAATGCAGCCAAAAATAAATTAATTAATTTTTTTTAAAAAGGATATATTATGCCTCATGTTTGCCAAGCCTTATCTGATGTTGTGCTAGAATGATACAAAAAAGATAAAAACAGACCTCTACCCGCCTTGAGAAGGAAGAGGCTGGCATCGGCCATACTAGTAGTCTGATGCCTAACTCGGTCTCTATTCAAGAAGCTCCGGTACAGTAGTGGAGAGAGTGAGGACCTTTAGCCCACAGCCATCAGAGAGGGACAGGCATTCTGGGGCTCAGAGGAGGAGAAAGGGTGTCCAAGATGACATAGGTGTCAAATGATATAATACATTAAAATTTATTTTTCTTGCAAAATTATAGCTTATTGCTATGCATACGTGATACGTTATTTGTGATTTCCCCCCTCATCTGTAAACGTGCTGTAGCTGTGTCTAAGACATCTCTGTATCTCCTCAGTGCCTAGTACCCTTTCAGGCATCTTAGACGGTTTTTTCTTAGTTATGTCATTATTCATACATTTTTTGTACTCAGGACTAGTCGTTATTTACTGCTAAGAAAGAGAAGGAGAAAATGCTGTCCCTGAGATTCCCCAGACCTTCAGATGTGGCATTTTGTTGCAAGTGGATGCATGACGAACTTAAAATGAAGGGGAACTCAAGAGCTGGACCTGTGCAATGCAGAAAACGTGCCCTGACGGGCTGTATTATCCAGCTGCATCTTGACTCTGAATCTTTTTTCCTCTTGGGCTCTTCTCCATCTGAAAATGATATGGGTAAGGGCATGTCCCTGACTTCGGGAAGGTGACATTAGGTTCCCTTTCTTTCCCTCTCTCTCCAGGTACCAAGCTCTCCTGATGAAATGTGTTCTGCCCCACTGGGCTCCGGGGGCAGTGTCTGGTGCTGTTGATGCCCTTGTTCGAACTTTCCAGAATGGATAGTCCCCCAAAGCTGACTGGAGAGACCCTCATCGTCCACCACATCCCCCTGGTACACTGTCAAGTCCCAGACAGGCAATGCTGCGGAGGGGCAAGTGCAGGTAGCGGGAGCACAAGACCCAATCCCTTCTGCCCACCTGAGCTGGGCATCACCCAGCCTGATCAAGACCTGGGACAAGCCGACTCCCTGCTATACAACAGCCTGCATTCTGCTCCCGGGGGATCTGCGCGATCTGCAGACAGCACCAAGAACAGAGGTCGGGATGGAAGAGGCCCCGGGGCCCCTAAACGACACAATCCCTTTTTGCTGCAAGAGGGTATTGCTGAGCCAGGACTTGGTGACCTGTATGATGACAGCATTGGTGATAGTGCCACCCAGCAGTCCTTCCACCTGCACGGGGCTGGCCAGCCCACCTTCCATCCCTCCTCTTTCCAGCTGCCACCACCTGGCCCCAGAGTGGGCAGGCCATGGGAGGCAACACATAGTCGGGCTGGAGTGGTGGAGGGGCAGGAACAGGAGCCAGTGACCACCTTGGATGCCCAGCAGTGCAGCAGTAGCCACAGCTGCCGGCCAGAGCCGGAAGCAGAGACCATGGAGCTGGATGAGTACGGGGGCCCTGGTGGGAGTGGCAGCGGGGGTGGAGCCAGTGATACCTCTGGCTTTTCCTTTGACCAGGAGTGGAAGCTCAGTTCAGATGAATCCCCAAGGAACCCCAGATGCTCAGGCTCAGGACCCCAGCACTGCCGCTGCAGTAGCACATCCAGTCAATCCGAGGCGGCTGACCAGTCCATGGGCTGTTTGAGCGACTCCTCCTGCAACAGCTCAGACGGAGTGCTGGTCACCTTCAGCACCCTCTACAACAAGATGCACGGCAACTCCCACGCCAATCTCAACTCTGCCCCGCAATCTTGCAGCGACTCTTCCTTCTGCAGCCACTCAGACCCCAGCGCCTTCTACCTGGACCTGCAGCCCTCCCCAGCAGAGTCTAAGATGTCTTGTGAGTCCCACCACCCTGACAGTGGAGGGAGGGAAGGTGGCTATGGTTGTCCTCATGCCTCGTCTCCTGAGCTTGATGCCAACTGCAACTCCTACCGCTCGCACTGTGAGCCCTGCCCAGCTGTGGCTGACCTCACAGCCTGCTTCCAGAGCCAGGCCCGTCTTGTTGTGGCCACACAGAATTACTATAAACTTGTCACCTGTGACCTGTCCTCCCAATCATCCCCAAGCCCAGCTGGCTCTTCCATCACCAGCTGCTCAGAGGAACACACCAAGATAAGTCCTGCGCCAGGCCCTGGCCCAGACCCTGGCCCTAGCCAGCCCTCTGAGTATTACCTGTTCCAGAAGCCAGAAGTCCAGCCAGAGGAACAAGAAGCAGTGGGCTCCGAAGTGGAAGCACCTGCTCCCGTGGGCCCCACTGTGATCGAGGGGCAGGTGTACACTAATACTTCGCCCCCCAACCTCAGCACTGGACGTCAGCGCTCTCGAAGCTACGACCGCGGCCTAGAGCGCAGCCCTCCTATCCGCCTGGGCTCACTGGAACGCATGTTGAGTTGCCCAGTACGCCTGAGTGAGGGCCCTGCAGCCCTGACTGGGCCTAGTTCCCCACCTCGGCGTGTCACCTCCTTTGCTGAACTCGCCAAGGGCCGGAAGAAAGCTGCAGGCTCTGGCTCCCCCCCACTGCGAGTGAGCGCTGGGGACTCCTCCCAGGAGTTCTCACCCATCCAGGAAGCCCAGCAAGATAGGGTGGGCCCACTAGATGAGGGCACTCACTGTAGCCATAGCCTACCACCCATGCCCTTGGGGCCAGGCCTGGACCTAGTTGGCCCAGAGCCCTGGTCCACCCAGGTCTGTCAGGGCCTCCAGTCCAGTGAGATGCCACCTGCTGGCCTCAGAGCTGCTGGGCAAGGCCCCCTGGCCCAGCTGATGGATCCAGGGCCTGCTCTCCCAGGGAGCCCAGCCAGCAGCCATACCCAGAGGGATGCAAGAGCTAGAGCTGACGGTAAGGAACCTAAAGGCTGGAGAATACCAGGGTGTGTGCATGGCCTCCTCAGTAGTAGGGCCCTGCCCACCACCCCACACATACCATTAGAGGTTCCTCAGCCTAGATCAATCATCTTTCCAGTCCAGAGCATGTCCTACGGTTGTAATAGGGGGAAGGAGGATGGAGAATAAAAAATACACCAAGGAGATAAAGTTAGCACAACTTAGAGATTGATGTATCGGGAAAGGAAGTACTCAAAAGATTGTGACTCTAAGCCCGGATGACTGGAAATATGTTGATACATGGTTAGGGACTGTAAACACAGAAGTAGATTTACTGGAAAAGGAATAAGGCATGAGTTCCATTTTGGACATTAAGGAATTTGCAGTGTTTAAGGGAAATGTCCAACAGGCAAACCACCCTGGGTATCAGTAAGTTCATTCTTTGATCAGTGATTGTAGCCACTCTTCAAAGAACCTGAGACCTGACACTTAACCTTTAAGCCTCCCAGGCCAGCTCTTTCCCTATTTACTTTATTACACTTAAGTAATTATTTTTTAAAAGCTCTGTGTTAAGTGGGTGCTGGTGATAGATGAGAGGAACAATCTCTGTCCTTAAGGAATTCCGATGAAGGGTGGAAACAGAAAAGGAAACAAAATTAAAATGTAGAGATGGCAGTGTGTGGTACAAAATTAAAATGTAGAGATGGCGGTGTGTGGTACTAGTCTATGAGAGGGATAGCTAAACAGACCAAAATGTCAGAGGAGTGCTAATACGGTTTACATTTAAGCACAGTCTAGAAAAATGATTAGGAATAGGCTTTGTGGAGACTCATAAAAAGAACATTCTAGGCCCATACAGTAGTCTATACAAAATCACAAAGGCACAGAATATCTTGATGCTTTCCAGAAACTGCAGATAATTTAATATAGCCATAGTGGAATGTGGATGGAACCATTAAAGGATTTTAATCAGGGAAGTGGCATTTTTTGGTTTGTTACAGCATAGTGGCATGTTTTGATTTGCATTTTAGAAAGATTTCTGATTGTTTGGGTGGAAGGTAGATTAGAAAGGATGTCTCCCTGGAGGTCAGGAGACCCCTGTGATCAGAGAGTCATCGGAATAAAAATAGTAGTTGAAGCTATGAGTGGATGAGAACATCCAGGGAGAATGTGTGGAGTTATAAAGGGAATGATGGACGGAGCCCTGGGGATACAGTGATTTCAGGTTGAGCAGAGCAACCCTCAAAGGAGACTGAGAAAAATTAGCCAAGAAAATAGAGGGAAAACCAGGAGAGGGTGAAGTCACAGGAGCCAAAGGAGGAGAACGTTTCAAAAAGAGTTAGTTCAACAAATGAGCTCTGAAAAGAAATCCCTAGGATTAAGGCTGAAGAATCCCAAGAGCAGCATTTGGGAGTGGCCAGCGTAGAAGCCAGATCTCAGAAGGTTTGGAAGGAAAGGGGAGATAAAGCAGGGGAAAGGTCGATAAAGGGGAATTGGCTGTCTGTAGCCTTAGGTTGGTCTGTTGGCTTCTCAAAGGAAAAGGGTTAAAAAAAAATCATAAATGGTGTTATCTCTGCTGTTAGGGAGATCACAGTCTATCAGAAGACTTCACACTTCTAAGCATACACAGAGGAGGTGCCCTTGGGGAAGGGATGCAGGAGGGTCTCTAGGGAAGAGGGGGGTCAGAAACAGCAGGGATTGGTCAGAGTGCTTTGGAACCCACGCTCTTCTGAGATTGCAGTGTCTGGTGGGTGATATCTAGGCACAGGGCTTGCAGTCTGAGGGCAAGAGCAGCCCTGGTCAGAGATGGGAGGAGAGGCCTTAAAAGTGTTTTTGCTATCAGGTAAGAATTTTCATATTGAGATGCTGTTTTGTTCCATAAGTCTCCAGTGACTTACCACAGGGCTTTTTTCTTGATTCTGTACGACTTTTTTTTTTATATCAAAAAACGATGACAAAAGAAGTGAGATCTCTTTGAGATTCTGAGCAGCAGAATCAAGATTCAAAAGGGTTTTACCAAGTCGGGAAAGAATGTTTTGTTCTTCCAGGGACCAATATGAACTTTCATAATGTAAGCTGTACTTGAGTTGATTTGGGATATTTAATTGATTGCAAACTCAGAATGAGTCAGCAGTTTGGAAGGGCTTCCAAAAAGTTAAAATGGTTGGATTCATTTAGAGACTCGAGAAGGGAGGAGTTGATAGCCCCCCTCACCCTTGTGAACCACTTAGAGCCCTCCTGGAAGTTCTGGACACTCCATTTTAAGAGGGAACCGAGGGGCTGGGGCTGGGTCGCCCACAGAAGAACAGACTTGGGTGAATGTGGTCTCTATCTCCAATTTTCTTAAGGGCTGTCACATAGAAAATGAGAAAACTTATTCCCTGTATTCCCTGAGGGTAGAACTGATACCCACTCCCCACAGTAGACACCCCTCCCCCTTCCCTGATCGTACTGCCTGAGAACTTAGCAGGGAGGATTTTTAAAAGAGTAGGAATAGATAGTCTAATTCAGACATACTCTACATAGCATGTACAGTAAAGCTGGGATTGGGAGGGCCTACTCTGATAGCCAGCGTCAGCTCAGTCTTGAAATTTGGTATTTAAGTAGGTGGAGAGGATGAAGACATTCCCAGTAGGAAAAGCAGTGTGCTTAAAGATGGGAATGGGGGGGAAGAGTGGTGTCAATGAGCATGGCAGGTGTGGACGTTTGAGGGGAGAGCACCTAATTTGTGGCAGGTGTGGACACCTACCTGACTGAGAAGATCAGACTTTGTTCTGTGGGCAGTAGCGCCACAGGAAATAAAATACTTCCTAAAGCTGGTATATGTAAGAAGATTTGGATGCAGTGAGCCTATAGTGAACCGAGGGTGACAGTGAGGCTTCATTCATTTAACGAATCTTTATTCAGTACCCACCATGCACCAGGGTCTGTTCTAGGCACTGGGGATACAGCAGTAAACAATTTAAAAATCCCTGCTTTTCTGGAGCCCTTATAAGGAGTAATGGACAATAAACAAATAAGATAATTTCTGATAGTGAAAAATGGCTAAAAAGGAAATAAAACAGGGTGATGAGAGCATGACTTGCCAGAGGGACTGGGGTGGTCAGAGAAGGTCTTAATGAAGTGATGCTTGAGCTGATGCCTGAATGATGAGACAATTTCAGCGAGAACAAAAGGCCCTGAGATGTTAATGAACTTGGCATGTTGAAGGACAGAAGAAGGTATTGCTGGAGCATAGTGAGCCAGGGAGAATGACAAGGGTTGTTCTCTGATCACTGACTGGGAATAGCAGGAGGGTATAGTCTGAAAATGTCCACTGAGAGTGGTTCTGAAACATCTCCTTTACAGGGTGTGTTCACCATCCCCTTAAGACTCGCTGAAGTAAATAAATGGGGAAAGATGAGGAATAGGAAAATCCAGCCTGATATCATTTCACGTGTAGTACAATGTGGTAAAGAGAACATTAGCCCCGAAGTCAAACTCTGACTTAGGCAGAATTCTAGCTCTGCAGCTTTCTAGTTGTGTGACCTTGGGCGAATGACTTAATCTCTAAATTTCCAATACCCAGATCTTTCAAGTATGGATACTAATTCCTTCCTCAGAACTGTGGAGCCAGGGGTGCCAATGAACCACACCCAGGGTTTCAGGTGGTATGGATGCTTATAGCGCCACCTTGTGTTCTTTTACATGTTTACAGTGTGTGCAGTGTTTCATTAGCTGCACAGCCCATACACAAAGGCTTTCCCTCTGTGCAGTGTCCTGTTGTGTGAGTGAGTCCCGTGTTTTGGAGTGAGACCCATGTTTTGAGGGACACTGACTAGAAGATTGGCTGAAAGAACAGGAGAGGACCACTCCTGGGGAACACACCTCTATGTAGAGGGAGCAGATGTGGACTCTGGGGCTCCAATACCAGGATCATGAAAGAGTGGGAGTAGGGTGGATAGGGTGACAGGGGGCCTGATTCTAGCTGCAAGTAAAGAAATATTTTATTGTGGTTAGATATGCTCAAAAATGAAATGTGTCGGCTCTAGTGGAGACAGGGGATGATGGGTGAAAGCTTGAAGTAAATTAACATCTTGACCCTGAAAATATATTACTAACTCCAAGTCTTTAGGCCTTAGAAACAGAGAAGATGATGGTTCTGCCATTGGCAGAAATGGAAATCATCAGGAGAATGAATGAGGTGTTTTAAAATGGCAAATTTTAAATGAAAGCAGAACCCTAAAGCAGAATGATCTAGAGATCAAGAAGAAGGTTGGGGCTAAAGCCATGGGTTCAGGAGTTGCCTGTACGACTGTCTGAACGTGAACAAGGCAGGGAAGAAAGTGTAGAGTGAAATATAAGAATTGAGCCTTAAGATATGCCCATCTTTGAAGTCAATAAAATGAAGAAGGGCTGAACAGTCAAGAGGTACAAGACAGGTCAATGTCATAAAAACACTAGGAAAAGTTTTACAAAAGACGGGAGGAGCACATTCCACAAACTTGAATTACCCCTACCCCATTCAATTCCTTCAGCCCAGGTCCTACCCCTCTCATCCCCTTTCCCCAGGGAGCGTCATCTCCTGCTTCTTGTCTTCCCCTCACGTGAGTTCAGTGTTCATCTGATTCCTTCTCCATCCCTGTTGCCGCAGGGGGTGGTGCTGAGAGCCGACCAGTCCTTCGCTACAGCAAGGAGCAGAGGCCAACCACACTGCCCATCCAGCCCTTCGTGTTCCAGCACCACTTCCCCAAGCAGCTGGCCAAGTCCCGGGCCCTCCACAGCCTCTCCCAGCTCTACAGCCTCTCGGGCTGCACCCGTGCACCGCAGCGTGCCCCCCTGGCTGCCCCCACTGCTCAGGTCCCAGCGCACGCTCCTTCAGGGGAGTCTCAGGCATCCAGCAGCGGAGGTGCCAGGAAAGCTGGGCCTGAGCCACAAACCTCACGGCCGTCACCCCTGGGCAGCTACTCCCCCATCCGGAGTGCCGGCCCCTTTGGGCCCAGCACCGACTCTTCTGCCTCCACTTCGTGCTCCCCTCCCCCAGAGCAGACCACAGCCACAGAAAGCCCACCTCCATGGGGCCGCTCCTGTCCTCCTGCCGTCCGGCCTGCCACCTCCCAGCAGCCACAAAAGGAGCATCAGAAGATACTGACCTTGGCTGAGTACCGACTCCATGGAACAGGAAGCTTGCCTCCTCTGGGCTCCTGGAGATCTAGCCTCAGCCGGGCAGAGAGCCTGGCCCGGGGAGGTGGTGAGGGCAGCATGGCTTCCAGGCCCAATAATGGTATGAGGTTCAGTGCCTGCCCCCCACCCCACCCCAAGCAAGCTACCTCCCCACTGAATGGTTTCTTATACTCCAGGTTGGGGTCAGAGGTTACAGTGTTTGCATCTGTGGCTAACATTCCCAACCCTCATGTTTTATATGGGCCCACTGGGTGGGTATGAAATGCTGTCTTCTAACTATTTCCTGTCTCTTTTGCTAATCTGTTCTGCTTTCAGCCAACCATCTATCCCCTCAAGCACTCAAGTGGAGGGAATACAGGAGGAAGAACCCTCTAGGGCCACCTGGTTTGTCAGGGAGCCTAGACCGAAGGCCACAGGATGGTCGACTGGCCCGAAGGAACCCCATCTTTGAGTTCCCTGGCTCCCTCAGTGCTGCTGGCCATCTGAACTGCCGGCTGAATGGTGTGTGGGCCAGATCCCCAGTAAACCCAGGGCAGGCTCTGCCATAGCTGGGAGGGGCTAGAGAAGGGGTCAGTCCCAAAAATCACATGGCTCAGAGGGTATGAGGCACTGAACTGAGCTGCAACTCAGAAAGAGAATTGCTTGGGATTGATTTTTCTCTTCTTTTCAGGTCAAGTAGTGAAGCCGTTACCACTGACCTGCCCTGACTTCCAAGACCCCTTTTCCTTGACTGAGAAGCCTCCAGCTGAGTTCTGTCTGTCCCCAGATGGCAACTCAGAGGCCGTTTCCATTGACCTTCTTCAGAAAAAAGGTGAATATTACTCCTAGCTCCGGACGGGAAATCTGCTATCACTACCTATTTGTGCCTGTTGCCCTACTATCTAGCCCTTCGGAATATTTCCCTGTTTTAGAACTCCAAGTGCTGGGAGGGAATTAGAGAGCACAGGTACTGGGGCAAGAGGCAGAAGTCTTTGTACTGTGGATCGTGAGTATTTGCAAGTGAGCAAGGATCCTTTATCAGATGCGTAAGAATCAGGTTTTAGTTTCCTCCCTCAGGGAGCTAAGTATAGTGAGGGAGACTCCCATGTGCTATACTGGGGGAGCTCAAGTGCTACAAGCTCTAGCGGTTTGGGTAAACATGATGGTAACATCTAATAAGGTAAGGACTGACAAGGAACCAGTCTATCTAGCAGACCTGTTTAAGTGAGATGATGGGGAGAGGATTGAGCATAACTGCGGGCCTTAGAGAAGCAGCCTGTGAAAGGGAGAAAGATGAAGCTAAAGTCCCTCGCAGAGGCAGAGTGGGGGACTCAGAGTTTAGGGAGAGGGAAGAACCTTAGGCAAGAATGGGAATAGCCACCTTCCTCCAAGTTGGAAAGGGATTAAGAGAGGGCAGGTGGGAAGGAAGATAGTTGTAATGTAGTTCTGTCTTTTGGATGGACAGGGAAGTTGAATTCATCACCAGTGGCCTCTGTTCTCTGTGTGAAGTAGAGCCAAGGGCTTGAGAGGGGGGTCAAGATTTGGCAAGGCAACTTGAGAGCATAGCAAAGAGTGCTACAAGGCACACATCAAAGAAGTGCCTCTCCCAGGCACTGGTGTGAGTAGCGCTAGACTTTCTCCAGCAACAGCCAATAGCCTGGTTTCTCAGAGTGGAGAGGACAGATGGCTAGAGTGATCCAGGTTTGGAGCAAGAGGGCAAGGAAGTGGGGATGTTGAGTGTCTTGACAATGGAATCATTGAGGTGGGTCTGGGCAGGGAGGTGAAAACAGGAGGGGCTTGAGAACCGGGCAAAAACAGGAAGAGGCCAGGGCCTGCTGTGTGTGCAGGGACAGAGAGAGTGAGTGAGTGTGTGTGTGTGTGTGTGTGTGTGTGTGTGTGTGTGTGTGTGTGTGGAAGCCCTTCCCTCTTCCCACTGAGGGCTCAGTCCCAGCTGAGTTGCCCAGGGACTTGATTAGGGACCCATCACATCAAATTCTCACTTGCAGGGCTGGTGAAAGCTATTAACACGGCTGTAGACCTCATTGTGGCCCATTTTGGCACAAGCCGGGATCCTGGGGTAAAGGTAGGCAAGACACTGTGGAGAGCTGAGCTCTACCCTGCTGACCCTCACCTATTCTCTGCTACCACCTGCCCTTGCTCTCTTGCCTCTAGAGCTCAGAGTTGGGTACTTAGAGATGGGGATCGCAAGAGAAGCACCGTAAGGACTAAGAGAGTCAGAGAGGACCAAGGTCAGGCTCCAGATGATTCCCTGTACTTCCCTACTGCATCCACAGGCAAAGCTGGGGAATAGTTCTGTGAGCCCCAATGTAGGCCACCTGGTTCTGAAGTACTTGTGCCCTGCGGTCCGGGCGGTGTTGGAGGACGGGCTCAAGGCCTTTGTGCTGGATGTCATCATCGGGCAACGGAAGAACACCCCGTGGAGTGTGGTTGAGGCTTCCACACAGCTAGGTAAGTGCTGGCTGGCAAGATAGGGACCCCAGGCTGAATTTTAGGGTTCCAGGATTGGGCACGTGACCTCCAACTCTGGCTTCCTCCCAGGCCCATCCACCAAGGTTTTGCACGGCCTGTACAACAAAGTCAGCCAATTCCCAGAGCTCACCAGTCATACCATGCGCTTCAACGCCTTCATCCTCGGCCTGCTCAAGTGAGTGTGTGGAAATCTACAAACCACCGGTCCCCTCCCCTGGGCTCTGGCACCTCCGAAGAACCAGCTCCCTAGACTGGGTCAGAAAGGGTGGATCTGCAGGATCTTTGGCCAGGGCCCAGGCTCACTTTCTCCCCACCTAGCTACAGCCTCTCTCAGTAGGTCACTGGTCTCCCACCAGACCCATCAGTCTCTGGCACTGATCACCAACATGGTCTTCTGCTTTTACAAATCCATAATCTGGCTCATTTGGAAATTAATCTGGTTCTCAGTTTCTTTGGATATTGTAACCCTGATCCTGTCCATTCCAGCACTGCTTCCAAATCCTGCTTGACCCAGTTCACCTTGGCACCCACATCACAGTATCCTTCTTTTCTCAAGTATGGGCCGAGGTCATCCCCTTTGGTCCTGAGCTATCCTGTCCTCTCACTTAGCAGCTGCCCTGACTTCCTGGGTCACGGGCAAGCCAACTCCATTCTAAGAGGAAGTGATTGGCTTGTGAATCACATGTTCACCCCCTCCCTATTAACCAGGTAGCATCACTGCCATAGCAGGGAGATGTTCACCTATACCTCTGCCCTGTGCGTGACCCCCCCATATCTGTCTTCTTTGTATCTTATCATCTGGCTATATCCACACAAGACTCAACTCTCTTCACCTATCTCCCTACAGCATCCGGTCCCTGGAGTTCTGGTTTAATCACCTCTATAACCATGAAGGTAATGCTCAGAACCCTGCTCTGTCTTGCAAACTCAACAGAGGCCAGACCTCGGAGGATCAAAAGAGGGAGGCACAGCTGTCTTTTCAGATGCTAGAAGTGGGGAGGAGAACCACACAAGCTTTCATCCTCAAGGCTTGGGCTTCTACCCAAGTCCTCTCCCAGCCCCTGCTTGTGTTAGAGCCTTGGAGTCAGCGGGATACTCAGGCAATCTGGGAGTCAGGGTGGCCAGGAACCTCTCTTCTCTGAACTCACGGCCGCCACTTAAGATTGTGGAGCTTCTGCACTGCACAACTTCAGAAGGCATCGTTTACACTGTAGTGCATCTAAGTGGCACGGCACACAGCCTGTGCAGCAGTACACAGTGACTCCACCCAGGTTGCCTTTCACAGGCCCACCCCAGGCCGGGCTCTGCTTCTCTGTGTGGCTCAGTCCCTCTCTCTTTCTCCCCTAGATATCATCCAGACCCACTACCAGCCGTGGGGTTTCCTGAACGCGGCGCATACGGTGTGCCCTGGCCTCTTGGAGGAGCTGCTGCTGCTGCTCCAGCCCCTGGCCCTCCTGCCCTTCAGCCTCGACCTGCTGTTCCAGCACCGGCTGTTGCAGAGTGGGCAGCGGCAGCGGCAGCACAAGGAGCTGCTGCGGGTGTCCCAGGACTTGCTGCTGTCCGCCCACTCGACACTGCAGCTGGCCCGCTCCCGGGGCCAGGAGGGCCCTGGAGACATGGACGGGGCAGCCCGTGGGGAGCGGGTGAAGGGTGTGGGTGCCCCAGAAGGTGGAGAAGATGAGGAAGAAGAGAAGGAGACAGAGGCAGCTGAGAGCTCAGGGCGTGGCAGGTGGGCCCGAAGTGGGCAGGCTGGCTGGTGGTACCAGCTCATGCAGAGCTCCCAGGTCTACATCGATGGCTCCACTGAGGGCTCTAGGTTCCCCCGGGGTGGCAGCAATAGCAGCAGTGGCAGCAGCAGTGAGAAAAAGAAAGGGACAGGAGGTGGGGGGCCACCCCCCCGAGAGGGAGTCGTGGAGGGAGCTGAGGCCTGCCCTGCCCCTGAGGAGACCCTTGGCCGGGAGAGGGGCTGGCCCTTCTGGATGGGGAGCCCCCCTGATTCTGTACTGGCTGAGCTGAGGCGCAGCCGGGAGAGGGAGGGGCCCACTGCCCCCCCAGCAGAAAATGAGGAAGGAGCCTTAGAGCCTTCACCCGGGGTCATCAAGTGGGGACACCTCTTCGGGTCCCGAAAGGCTCAGCGGGAGGCCCGGCCCACAAACAGGTAAGAGACAGCCCCTGGTGTAGACAGATGGGTGGGGGTGCCTGCTCTAAGCCAGGGCACAGACAGAGCCAGAGCCCGGCCGCTATCCCCTAGGCTACCCTCGGACTGGCTCAGCCTGGATAAGTCCATGTTCCAGCTAGTGGCGCAAACAGTGGGTGCCCGCCGGGAGCCAGAGCCCAAGGAGAGCCTGCAGGAGCCACAGTCTCCAGCCCTGCCTTCCAGCACTCCATGGTGAGCCCTGGGAGACAGAGGGATTTGGGGGCTGGGTTTGGCTCTGGGTGGGGTTTCTCTGACCTCCATTTGTTGTTTCCCCAGCGAGGTGAAGGCACTGTGCCACCATCTGGCCACAGGCCCTGGACAGCTGAGCTTCCACAAGGGAGACATCCTGCGGGTGCTGGGGCCAGCCGGAGGAGACTGGCTGCGCTGCAGCCGTGGCCCTGACACTGGCCTGGTGCCTCTGGCCTATGTGACTTTGACCCCAACTCCAAGTCCAACCCCTGGAAGCAGCCAAAACTGAGGCCCTGTGCATGCTGGTGGCCTCAGGGACCCTCACAACCCCTAGACTCGTAGCCTGAGAGCCCTTCCCAAGCCCTCTGGCCTGGTTACAGAGAGTAGACCGAGAGCTGGGGGCCGCATACCCCTGTGCTCAGTATCAATTACTCCCCCTTAACTGTCCCAGTGACCTCGTCCAGATCTCCCCCCAGGAAAGGAGGGAAGGGACGCAGCACTGGGCTGCCAGAATTTCCCCCGCCCATCTTGGCCAGCCCTCCCATGGGTACAGACAGGCATGTCCCTGTGGAGGGAGGTGACCAGAAGGCCCGTTTGTGGGGGTCCCTAGGCCAGGTGGTGAGAAGGATGGGTGACAGTATTGGGGCCAGTTCCCTGAGCCCCCAGCTGTAAGTAGGCTGTGGCCAGTGCCTGGTGGTCAGAGGAGGGAGGAGGAGCCCAGGCTCTGTTTATGTATTTATTTATTTATTTATTATACCTATTAATAAAAAAGGTGCTCGGCCTCCAAACCATTCTCTCTTTGTGCCTTCTCCCACCCTCCAGACCATCTTTCTTCTTTGCAAAAGGATGGCTGGGATAGGATGAAAAGGAAAGAGAGAACTTGAAGTCTAGGTACCTACGCCAGGAGCTGCTTCTGGATGGTGCTGAGGCCCAGAGCATCATGGGTGAGATGCCCATATGTGCGGCCAAACTGGAACTTATACCCTGTGTGGCCAAAAGATTCTGTCATTTTTAGCCAGAGGCATAGAAAAGTTATTTCTCAGCCAGTTGCCTAGAACCTCCAAGTTATCCTTCAAAATCTGGTCCTAGCTACTCCCTAGGAGCTACATCAGTTTCCTTTTCTGCCCAGTGATAAAGCTGACCCAAGGTCCGCCCATATCTACTAGTTCCAAGCCCTAAACCACCTCCACCTATCTCTCTCTCACACACACATACACACACACACACACACACACACACACACACACACACACAAATATTCCAGTCCCCAAAGCCTCCCTCTGGGGGCTGTCCTCACCTGGCACATAGCCCCCATATTTAGGTACAAGGCCCAGGTTCTGAGGGTAGGTCCTGGAAAGTGAGGGGAGATGTTTAGGATCCTTCTGGGATCTGCCCCCTGACTTCATCTGTCCAAATTCCTGCAGTGCCTGGTTGCTGAGCACAGGAAAGCTGGAACCGAAGAGGAAGCGAGCACGGGGCACATAACCAGTGAAGCCTAGGGGAGGGGGATACTAAGTCAGTACCTCCTGGGCACCTCCCCAGGCCTTTGGTCATTACCCACTTCCTCTCACCTGACATGAAGAACTTGCGAGGATCTCTGTCATCCATGGAATAAGGGGAAGCCTTCTGAGGAGAAGTTGATAGAAGAAAAACAGGGCTATCAAGTTCAGCCTCTGGGCTGTAACACAAGCTCCCAGGGAGGTGAGGCTGGCAGTCTAGCCCACATCCCCTGTCCCACAGCCATGCTACACATGACCACCCCAGACCTGGCCACACAGAGGTAAGGCTCCCCTCGTACTCCCCATCAGCCTTCTCGGTCTCACTTGTTCCGCCTCCTGCCCCAGCTCTGGCTCCTTTTCCGTCTCTAGCTCTGCCTCCAGCTTTGGCTCTTGGTCTTTCTCCACGTCTTTCTCTCCCTTGGCCTCCTTTGGCAGCTCCTGACTCCTCTGTCGCCCATACCACTGAGTGAAATCATTCAGAGCCTCAGCCCAGACCTGGCTGCTGTTCTTGGCAAAGATGAACTGTGCCTGGGGTACAAAACCTAGGTAGGCGAGGGGCAAGGACGATTTGTTAGTGTGTGGGACCCATGTTCTGGGATGGGGGGTACCTGTTCATACCTGGGTACATACCTGTGTACCCAGGGATCATGCTGGAGCTGAGCCTTTCGTGTCCACGCCTGACAGGCAGGCTTTTCCTGGGACCCTCGGGAGATCTTGGAGGCCGGATGGGAGGCAGAAGTGTGCGGTGGGAAGGGGGCCAGGCTAGGCCAGGAGAGCCGCGAAGTAGCTGCCCAGTCATCTGCCCATAGGTCTGGCCCATGCTGAACCGAAGTAGCGGGCAGTGTCCAGTGTACCTGTAGCACAAGTCTCACCCACTCACCTCCAGAATCCCCGGCCTCACCATCCCCAGAGGTAGAAGCAGAGACCTCTGAAGCCCTGATCTCTTCTGGACTCAGCTGTGTATATATTTGGAGCAGGCGTTTCTTAGTTCTCTGTCTGGGTTTTCAACCCTTCCCCTCTGCTGCTACCCTGTTACCATGGAGAGCACAACACAAAGCTTCATAGCAGGCCCGGCTACTACTGTTCCCTTGCTTTTCCTTTTCCATCCAACATCATAGACATCCCAGCCATAAGCCTCCCATACCAGAATGTCCACCTGGCCCCCAAGGCCGAGGTGGCACAACTCTGCCACCTTTTACACCCCTGTTCCCAGAAGCAAACACGTGTGCTCTGGGTAGAAGTCTTACCCTGGGATATAATGAGGGTTCTGAGGGTTCAGCCCTGGTATGAAGGTGCTAGCCATAGCTGTGGGAACCCAGGCGAAGTTCCCTTCGTTTCTCTGAGCCGTTTCTCTGAGCTGAGCTCCTGGGCTGTGTGTGCTGACTGTGTCAAGGGCTGGGAGGCCGAGCCAGAGGCAGGAGGTGGGGCTCGGGGAGGAGAGAGGGGTTGGGGCACTAGTGTGATGGCTGTCAGGGCCCGGGCTGCAGGGGAGTAGAGGCTCACTGGTCCGTCCACTCCGGATCAAGGGCAGCCCTGCCACCTGGGGGCAGGGAGAAGGCCGCGTACAGCCCCGCCACTGCAGAACCAAAGGAAGCCCTGAAGTGGCAGGTGGGGGAGCAAAAACTGACAGGCCCATTGAGCTCTGTCTCGAAAGAGGGCCTTTCCTTCTTAAGCCCCTCTCTGAGCACCTGCCTGAGGAGATGTGGATTCTACTCTCTGTGAGTCTTGGTTGAAGGTGATGGAATTCCTAGGAAAGCCCAGTGGGGAGGTGATAGGGAGAAAAGGAACCTAAAGACCTCTAGGCAGTGACATTGTTTATTTTCAGTAACGTAAGGACAAGAATTACTACTATAATCCAGATCATCATCCATTCAACAAATATGCCCTGCTCTGCCAGGCATGCTCTACAGTGGCAGAAAGTGCAGAGGAGTAGGAGACAGCGTGGCTGTGCTCCACGTGCCTATGGGCAAGTCAGTTAGTATCTCTGAACCCTACTATCCTCATTTATAAAATGCAGGTGCTACTATTCACCCTGCTACTGTTGTGAGGCTCAGATTAATGTATGCAGATGTGCTTTGTAACAAACACCTTGAAGCCAGAATGGTGGGGTAGGGGAAAGGGCACAGGCGTGAAGTCCGGCAGCCATGGGCTCCTAACAGCTTGTGACCTTGAGCCGACCTTACCTTCTCTGAGCAGGTGGCTTCTTCTGAACCTGAAATCCCTAAACTCTTAACATGAAGGTTAAAATAGCCTAACCTACCAAGGTGGTGTTAAAAATAAAGCCAGATAGTGTGTGTGAAAGAACTTACCCCAGCACCTGGCACGCAGCTGCTAAAACTTCATTTCCTTTCCTATTGTTTAGTATTGTCTCTAAGCGTCTAACACAAATGGGAGATCAATGAATGGTTAGTAAATTCAGGGGTTACAGGTTTTCTCACTGTGGGAGTTCAAGGGAAGGAGATATGAAGGTAATGTTGAGGTTTAATGAGGGGGCAAATTAGAATTTGTTAAGAAAACAATTCAGATCCTAAGAGCAGTACAGACCAGGAAAAAGATGGGGGGAGGGGAGCATGATTAGAACTTTGCGGCTGGTTCAGGGCCGGCTGGTCCACCTTTCCAGTACGCAGAGCCTCTGCTCTCCTCCCCACGCTTGACTGTGCCAGTGCCTGGGCTAACCAAGCATGTGTCACTGACTTCTTGGGAATTGCACAAGAGGGCCCCAAAGAATACATTTCATGTTCCTCAGTGTTCTGCCAAGGACACTTGGTATGTGGACACTTGGTATGTGTCACTTAGAGCTAGAGTTAGAGAGGACTTGGCTCCCAGGAAATATGCTAGAGTGAGGGTGGGAGCTGAGGGGAGAGCCCAGAAGAGCAGGAATATGTCAAGGCTAACAACCTGGACTTCTGGATTCTGTAACAGACACTGTTGGTTGCACACTTCATACCTATTCCCTACCCCCGTCTCCCTTCTTCCTAACAGAACTTTAATTTCGTTCTGCCAAGCAGTCAGGAACTTCAGGGAAGCTGGAGCCAGCCACAGGAATGAGTCTGGATTAGTCTAAGCCCATCATAGTAGTCCCATTCCCCTTGCCAGTGACTGGTTAGGCATGGGCTTGTGGCAACCTGGACAGTATGAGGGCAAGTCTGCTGGGGTGAAGGAGTGTCCTGGGAAGAGTTTCTTTGCTCTTAAAAAGATGCACAACAAATTAGAGAAAGAGAGATGGACAAGAAGGAATGATGTCTTTCCCTGCCTCTAGAAATTCTGTGGATGTGATGCTGGAACCTTGGCAGGCATCATGAAACCTGTGGAAAGCTAAGCTAACCTGGGGACAAAGCCTGAATCCATCCAGGGTGGATGGCAGAATAGAAAGGCCTGGGTCCTTGATGGTAATGTTGAGCCTCTGACTTAACCAACCTTCTTATGAAATAATTTCATTATTGTTAAGGCCACTTTAAGTTTTCTTTTACTTAGAGCCAAAGGCGTCATAATATAAAAGTAAAACAAAACAAAACAAAAACACTAGTTCTAAAAAAAAAACAAAAAAAAACAAAAAAAGACACCACTAGTTCTAATCCTAGTCACTAGAGATACAGACCCTGGCCAAATTCATCTCATCGGCCCTCAGTTTTCTCATCTATAAAATGGGTAAACTAATGTTACTACCTCATTGAGCAGGATATCGTAGATGAGATGATGCAAAAAGAGCAGCTGGCCCAGTGTCTAACTTGCTAATAAGTAAATAGCAATTCATTGTGTTTAGTTAGAATTTGGTAGGATGGGAGAAAAGAAAAAAGTAGTAAGACTGGGAGTTCAGGGGAAAGAGTCTGTGAAGTTGAGAAATGGAAAGGTTAGAATTTCAAATTGGGATGTAGATTAGGATGCAGGGACTGGAACAAATTCTGCAGAAAAGACCATGGCAGCTAGAATCTGGGTAAGAGTTAATATAAGTTAGGAAACAAATTGTAATTAGTCTTAGATTCATGGTTTGTGAAGAAACAGCTCACTGTTCTTGGTGAAATGGCTTGTTACTATTATTGTTTCCATCCGTGTAGAGAGTATTTCTAAATCCCTGAAGATTGGAAGGACATTCTAACCTGGGAAAGGAGTGGAAGAGCTAGCTGAGGGGCCTGTAGGAATGCTCATTGCCTTGGTGCCTCCTTCCGAGGGATAGTCATGGTAACCTACCCACAACTTGTTCCTGACGACAGCTGCCACACCCAGCGGCCAGTGTTGGATGTGGCAGCAGAGAAATGTTTCGCTGGGATTACACCCATCTACAAGATGAAGGTCCAGTTAGGAAAGTCACGACAGTGCCCTGCTCACTCCACACAGCCTGCTGGGTCTCCCAAATGGCAGTCTACAACTCTCTTGTGCTCTGCCTTTGATCTGACCGGGAATTGCTGTAAAATTTCATGTAAATAAATACAAATATCGAATCATGTCGTATACCTGAAACTAATATAATGGTATGTGTTAACTATATCTCAATTTTTAAAAATCAGAATATTTATCAGCCAAAAAATTTTCACATAGATCCCAGATCAATCACTTGATTGTACGTCAGTACTGGGCAAGCATAAATCCCCTCTATGAGGATGAATTAAAAGAAAATCATGAGACCTTTGGAAAAAATTCCTCAGATCAAGAGACAACCAAAATTGAAACAAAAAGTGAAAAGAATGAACTCCAAAAGATTACATACGACATAACACCCTTTAAAATTAAAATATATAGATGCAATAAAACTACATAAACAGGAAAGCAAGGTAATGATGAACATGAGTTCAGTTGCTTACCTCGCATGGAAGTGAGACAGTGGAGGGGGAGGAGACCATACGTGTAGATGTACGTTATTGTCAAGGTCCCAGTTTTCGTTTGGGATGGTGAGTTCATAAATGCTTATTATTACACATTAGAATGAATGAATGAATTAAACCATGGGCCAATGATTAAAGTGTATCATAAACCAGGGATTATGAAAACCCAAATCTGTGCAGTTGACATCCAAAGAGGTGGAATGGGGTGGGGTTGGGGAGAATCCAAATAGAAATGATCAGAAACAGTGGTATTGATAAGACTTGAATACACTTTCTGGTTTTAGTGCTCAAGAAATCAAAATATTAAAGAAGAACAGAATCTGAACAAGGATGATTTATTAGCTACACACAGGGAACTTTAAAAACTGGCCATAGTCTAGTCCTGCCTAACAGAGCAGGCTTGGGCAAATTGCTTAGTCTTTGAGCCTCAGTTTCCACATCTGTAAAATGAAAGAGATGCACTGGATTGTTATTAAGATTCCTTCTAGTTCCTACTCCCTTCTCTGTTTGCCAATGCAAATATTATATGGTCTTTAAACATATATACATATTATTTTACATTTTTATGTATACATATTTATCTTACATTTTATATTCATATTTATGTATTATAAAATATATACATATATGATTTTTTTAAATAGCAGAATCTTTGATGTGCTTTTAGTCATTTTTTTATTGAAGTATAGTTGATTTATAATGTGTTAATTACTGCTGTACAGCAAAGTGACTCAGTTATATATACATTATTTTTCATATTCTTTTCCATCATGGTTTATCACAGGATATTAAATATAGTTCCCTGTGCTAGACAGTAGGACCTTGTTTATCCATTCTATATATACCAGTTTGCATCTGCTAATTAGAGTCATTTCTAAACGCAACTATATTTTTAAAGTTTCATACTTTAAAATGTGCATGTGTAGGGCTTCCCTGGTGGCTCAGTGGTTGAGAGTCCGCCTGCCGATGCAGGGGACACGGGTTCGTGCCCTGGTCCGGGAAGATCCCACATGCCGCTGAGCGGCTAGGCCCGTGAGCCATGGCCGCTGAGCCTGCGCGTCCGGAGCCTGTGCTCTGCAACGGGAGAGGCCACAACAGTAAGAGGCCCGCGTACCGCAAAAAAAAAAAAAAAAAAAAAAAATGTGCATGTGCCTCCTAGGATGCAGCTCCAAATGAGCCTTATTCAACTTATAAATTTTCCTGAAAACAGGCCACTATCTGGATATCACTGCTCTGAGCATAGAGGATGGATCAAAGCAAAGGAAATGACAGAATCTCTTTCTGGCGTTTTTACACGTATAACATTCTTCAAATCCACAGCACCAGTTTTTTTTGGTTTTTTTAAATAAATTTATTACTTATTTATTTTTGGCTTCATTGGGTCTTCATTGCTGCGCTGCGGGCTTTCTCTAGTTGCGGCGAGCGGGGGCTATTCTTTGTTGCTGTGCGCGGGCTTCTCATTGCAGTGGCTTCTCTTGTTGTGGAGCAGGGGCCCTAGGCTCGCGGACTCTAGAGCACAGGCTCAGTAGTTGTGGTGCACGGGCTTAGTTGCTTACGGCATTTGGGATCTTCCCAGACCAGGGCTCAAACCCATGTCCCCTGCATTGCCAGGCGGATTCTTAACCACTGCGCCACCAGCCAAGT